ATTAGTTTAGATGCTAGCTAGATGGCATGAATATAAGAACCAGTAACTTATATATACTAATATCTAGATCAGGGTTTTCCAAACCTTTTTGAGTTTTCAACTCCTTGACGAACTTATAAAGTTGTCATCGACCCCTAAATTCTTAGAATATAAATTATAAATGAAACTTAAATATATATTCAACTTTTATTCATCATACTACAATTGTTATGAAACATAAAATGTTAAAAAGAATGAGGTTTTAATTTTCTCTAATGATATAGATGGGCCTGATGGGCTTTAACAAGCGTATGAATATTGCGAAGTAGGTTTGTGAGTTTGAGTCTCAAGTCTCTACGTTCTTCAACATAGAGCCCGTGTCTCTGGATACTTAAAAAACCATTGGTATGGTTAAATCTAACTTCGACGATGTACATCCTTGGAAAGGCGTAGGGCGGTTAGTTGTCTAGGCCAACTTTACCCTAGGAGGCATTTTTGACCCCTAGGTCTTTATTCACCCCCTGTACAGACTCATCGATCCCAAGAGCTCGATATCGACCGCTTTGGGAAACCCTGATCTAAATCTAGGTATATTATTTATAAATACAAGTATGCAGTGAGTTAACATGAAAATGAATTAATGATAAGCTATTGAGCTCAGCGTGTAATAAATGAGTCTTTCAGGTCAGTGTTAGTAGCGAGATTTATCACGTCTATTCTGTTATTCAGTTGCGCATTGAGTTACGTGTCTATTATTTGATCAAAGCCAAGTAGCTGAGCTAGGCATATGACTCACAGTTTATATTGAAAAATTGTATTTGAAGTTAGGCCTACATTTAGTTACCGAGTTTATATTGGAAATTATATTTGTGAAGTTGGGCCTAAATTTAGTTACCGAGGTTGTATTGAATATTATATTTGTGAAGTTAGGCCTAAATTTAGTTACCGAGTTTGTATTGAATATTATATTTGTGAATTTAGGCCTAAATTTAGTTACCGAGTTTGTATTGAATATTATATTTATGAAGTTAGGCCTAAATTTAGTTACCGAGTTTGTATTGAATATTATATTTGTGAAAGGCCTATAACTTGTGTCAACAACTGTAGGAAGTAGAGATTTTATAATAGAAATAATCTAATTCATTAGACTGGAGTTGGCATTTATTTTTACCAAATGATTTGCCGAATGAGAAAACACACTGTAAAAATATATTTATTTAAAATTGGCTCAGTAAATTAAATTATTATTTTTTGTCCATTTGTTCTTGCTTTTAGATTTTTATTATTTTTTGTGTGCTGGGTTTGATCTATTTTGGTGTTGAAAGGCAACAATCGATAATAGATGATAAATTTTTGAAGTTGTCTAATATGAAAAGACTGGGCCAATTAACGTGATATTCATTACTCGAAATCCAATAGAAAACGTTGCTTTAAAATAGCACAATATGGTTAGTGAAATAGAGCTGAGTGTTGATGATTCATGGAATTCAAACGTTACTGATACTCAACAAAACGTTCTTGCGTGTCTAATACTTCATCACCGTCAACAGTCCAGAAGCTTATATTCAGCAGTGTTCGTGGTGCTAAATTACACTCGACACTAGTGGAAGAGTGTTTTGCGGTGTAATCGATTGCTAAGTGGACCGCTTCAAAGTTTGTTATCAACATGTGCGTGCGTAAGTGCGAAAGATGTTGAATGGAAGGTTAGATTTCGTCATAAGCGTAGATGGTTGTTTGAATTATTCAAAAGTATCTTACTGACAAACGCTAGAGGATTAATTCCGTATATCTGTTGGTGAAGAACTCGCCTAGTTAGTTCCTATAGTAGTTTGAATAGCGTGCAAAAATATAATGACGAAAAATACAAAACAAAAGAAAAAAACAGAATTGTGTGGAAGTTATATTACTTGCTTCAATTCGCTCAATCTAAATGGTAATCAGAATTATAAATCTAGAAGTTGTTTAAATAAACTTTGGGGAAACTGTTGAAAACCAACCCAAATTTTAGTAGTTGCATGCATAATTTTGATTTTTGATTAGTGTGAAACGTGATATATTTAAAGTATTCGAGTGAATTCATAATGAATGTGACTTTAAAAAATCAAATTAAAAATATATATATTTCAAAATTTAGAAATATTTATTGTTACTGAAATTACTTTGCTTGTTGGTATCCTATTATTTTATCAGTGAAGTTGAATAATTCTCCTGGCGCGCGTATTGCTAGAACGCTTTGCACTGTAATTTGTTTTGTAATAGTTTGGTACACAGCCATGCATATGCTGTCTGACCATCTTAGCAGGACTCCATACACTTTTAGGCCATTCCGTGTGTTTGTATACAGAAAACAAACTAATCATGTATTGTGTCAGCTTATTGCTCTAGCCCTATAATTATAAACATATAGTTATATAATATCTTGTCTGTCAGACAATATTTTAGAGCAAAGACCTCTTCGTCTTTCAATTAGACATGATAAAGTGTCCATCTAGAACAAGTGGCAGTGTCAAAGAAATTTTTTCACCCACTGCTTTGATCTATTGCACCTGTCATCAAAATATCCGAACAATGATAATAAAAAGGTAATACATCTGCCAATAGGAACAACTTTAGTTGACAACTACTGGTGACATACAGAAGGAAACATTATAAGGCAGACATATGAAATGCTCGTGAAATCAAACTGTGTCTCACTTGACAGAATATTTCAATAGTTCTTAGGGTTCAACTAACATATTGTATGACAGACATTATAAAAATTGTTATATCTCTGATGTAAACGGGAAATTACATCTTCAGTAACTTTTGTAGGACAAACTGTGGACAATGATGACTAACTAAAAATCATACAATAATCTGATGAATTTGGTTTTTATCCATTTATGTAATGATGGTCAGACAGTGTGGGTGTACACACACATATATATATCGGGTATGTCTATATTAGCGCAAATCTGCACAATGGGCTACCTGTGCTGTGCAAACTACATAGGTTGAGCTCTGAGTGTTAGTGTCATAAGCCCTCAGACTTACTTCTGAACCACCGGCGAGGACGAAACTTTTGGTGTTTAATAGCTAGTTGACATTCAACTTGTCAACTTAATGATGTAGATGGTATGTTCTGGTAATTATATCGCTGTTTGAACACAGTACAATAAATGTAGCTTTAAAAAGAAAGAGGACAGAGACTGGGTGTTTTGTTCATCGTATATACGACTTGGAAATATAAGATTTAATCTGATCTGCTACACAAGCTTCCGACTTCTTTTATATTCGCCTTGCATTACATCTCAGGAGAAAATTAGTAAAATTCACTGGTAAATTTCTATTTTCAATTGTGCATCTATTACGAACTGAATATTCAGAAAACAGCTGTTGTTAACTTTTTCAAATATTTTCGAACTGGAAGCTTTTGTCAAAAATATTCTAACACTTGGACTATAACTTATTTTTTGGTCCATCAAGAGGCAAGAGTGGGCAAACCTTTTAATAAAACTTGATTGTTTGTTATTTGTTAAGCACAGAGCTACACAATGGGCTGTGCGCTGCCCACTGCGGGTGGCATCGTAAGTCCCCAGATTCACCTGGAGGTAATGAAACTTGAAATAAAATTATTCATTAAGTCAAGAAATATGTAGTTTGGATTGCTTTCCTCTACGAATCTCTTTCTCTTACTTATTATAATAATAAACATTTGGACGAAAAACTTGGGCTTCTCTTCTTCGCACACGCACAAAGTCACAGTCACATAAGATTTGTTTCTCGAATTTCGCGCTAAGCTACTCGAGTCCTATCTGTGCTAATTTCCCTAAGTTAGAAGTGATAGACTAGAGAGAAGGCTGCTAGTCAACACCACTCATCGCCAACTCTTGGGCTACTCTTTTACCAACGAAAAGTAGGACTGACCATCACATTATGATGGACTACTAAATTAGGGACGAAAGCGCAGATAGTCTTTGTGTAACTTTGCGCAAAATTCCAAACAAATTAAACTTCTTTCCGGAATAATAAATTATCACAATTCCGACGATGCCACCATCGTTTACATAACTTGTTCACCCAGTCTCTTGGATTCATGCTTTGTATTTGAATTTGTCATGAAATATTAGCGTTACTCACTAATCCATAACAGTATCTTAACTTTATAAAGACAGATTATTTAATAAATTCTTATTGAATCTCTAAAGGCCCTCATGGCATTTATTCGATGGCAAAAAACCTGAGTCCAGACCTACGTAATCATTTGTTTATTTAATTTAAAACCTTATTAGGTTAGTTAGGAAAACTTAAATAAAAAAAAGATTTCTAGTGATACCCTAAATTTTACATCAAGGCATCTATGCACACATAATGTGGCATGTTGTAACTCAATTGTTTGTTTAAAAAAAGCTATCCCACTGTGACAAATAGTTTTAGCATACACTGAGATGGTCTAAGTACAGGTGTAAAACTAGGTGTGAATAAAGTAAAGATGTATTTTTTTAAATGATATTCATTTAGAGAGGTTCTATAGTTTATGTAAATTAAATAGGAAAACTGTGAGGAAGAAAAGAAGTATTTATATTATTAGTGTTGTAGTATTATTACATTTTTACTTATTTGGTGAAAATATAGCCAAATCTATTCAACATAACAAAAACAAATTAATTAGTTTATTTCTTACTTAACATTTCTACACCTGTTTTCACTTATATGTTGTTATGACCTGTAGGCCTAAATACTTTTACAAATGATGTTAAAATGGATATACATAACTAATGGTTTTATGACTAAAGTAAAAGATAAACTTATTGGTCCAATTTTATGGCTAATCGATCAAGTAACTGGATGTATGAGATAACTAACACTCATCCGAATACTTCAACGAAACTAAATATTTCACTGGGCTAAACTGATTGACTCACTGCTTGGCTATTCTTGATCACTATATTTCCTAACATTCTTGGTATTCTAGGATTAATTTGACATTATGCGCCCTCTCGCTAACATCTAGATTAAAACAATATAAAAAAATAGCTTACGAAACTGCTCCCTTCCATTTACAAAGTCTTTTAGGTGGTTTTCTCTACTGAGGTTCATGGTATACCGATGGGATGGTTTCTTGTCCCTTGTTGTCACTAGCTATATTGTTACTGGGGAGTTCTTCTTAGGTAGCTCTATTTTTAATGATCCTCTGGAAGCGGTCTCGACATGAATCCTGGGATTATCAGCTGGCTGACTTTTCACTTGAAAATTCTGCAGCGGAGTTTTCCAGTTGTTCATTCTCTCATCAACGTACTTCCAAAGATGATCATGGTAAAAAAAACTTTGACTTAAATATCTCATCTTGCTGGATTCTGTAAACAATATCATGGTTCTTTTCAGTACAATATATGACCCTTTCTAGCACCATTTCCCAAATGTGACAATACGTTTCCCCCTGGTGGACACAGCAGATGGCCCAAGATGGCTTTGGTCTTAAACAAAGTAACCAAAAATAACAAAAACAAATAAACAAATCCACAGTACTTGCTTAACAGTGTAGTTCGTTCTTTCTTTTATTGGGAACTGTATAGCTATTCCATGTCACTTTGATGAACCCAGTCTTATCAATATTAAATATGGAATTGGTCGATGTGACCGACCTTGAAACTACAAAGTAATCATCAGAGTTTCCATAGTATATGTTTTCTGCATATCCACGAAATCTGGGAAACTTTCAGTGAATTAACCACAATTGCTAAAGACTTGTCTGTGAATATATTTGTGTTAAGGTGTTGACTGCTCCGAGTGTTAAGATTAAAAATAGTTTTTTCACTTGAAAATTTGTAATTTTCATTTGCATAACCTGTAAAAACTACTAAATAAATATCGAATGTTTTGTTTTTTTTGTTAAAATTTATATTTTCTCTACCCTAACATTATACACACTGGATCAATTTGACTGACCTTATAACCACTATAACAAATTATGAAATTATTGTAAATAATCCTTTTTCTTTCTAGAATGACTTCAGATTGTAAACAAAGACGATAATCGTTTATCCTAAATAGCTTAAGTTTCCTAACAGTCTACATCTGTTTATATTTAATTTTATTGTGTTACTCCCTTTTGAACTATGTTTGACTAATAATCCTATCACACAAGTTGTAAATTACCCAGCAAAAGTGTAGCTCACATTACCTTATTAAATGACATAACACACGAGCTGCTCATTAACATACTTTGCAAAGAAATATTAATCATTTTCATTATCTAACCTAATACATCTCTAATTTTTATATTTTAGTTACTTTTATAACAATAAATAACATTATACATAAAAAACAAAAAATATATACTTACGTTTGATCTCTTGTTTTTTGCTATTCGTTGCCAAGCCCCCCCCCCCACTAGCACAGCGGTATGACTGCGGACTTACAATGCTAAAAACCGGGTTGCGATACCCGTGGTGGGCAGAGCACAGATAGCCCATTGTGTAGCTTTGTGCTTAATTCCAAAGAAACAAACAAACAATTCATTGCCAATGAAATTTAAGCCTACTTTTTATAATGATGGTACAGTACCCTAAATAATTTTTATATACTCAAATAATGCACCTAAGAACATAGAATAATAATAACATGCACAAAGCACATAATCTCTTATAACTATTATAATCTAACTGGCTTTCTAACTAAGACAAGATAGACTAAAATTAATTCCCTTAGCTGCTCAACCTGAGCACCACAAGATTAATTTTCAAATTGAAGACGAATTTAATAATACTCTGTATTGAGAACAAAATAGCATTGTATATCATTTAATAGATGGATTAAAACTTTCCCTTTCTATTGGTTATAAATGATATGGTGTAAAATCTAACAGAGAATTATTGGCATTTTGTGAAAAAGAGAATGTGACAGGTGGGTGTGGCAAGTAGACCTGATTTACTAGTTTACGACTCCATAAACAAATAAGGTTGAAGGCTAGAAAAATTAGATATTGCCTTAGTAATATATGTATCGTAATGAGAAGTTTATATTAAATTCATAACTTCTGAGAATGGCAGTAAAAGAATAGGAGAAGGAGGAAGACCTAGAGAACAAATGTCACAGTTCTCACAGTAGGGAAGATTGAGGATTTTTTGAATACTTCCTTTTAAAATTATCAACTTAAAACTTATATTAAGATTTGATTTATTAACTAGTTTTGACGCGAATATTGAACTACTTGTTGTGAGAGGGTTAGCATCATTAACTTTTCATGTTACCACTAGCTGATTTAAATCTTTCTCGGATAAAGTAATGTGTGACATTGATGGTGTTCCTTAATCCTCTACATATTCTTTATAAGACTCTTCTGTGTGACTTTTCTTTGGATTAAAGTACAGAAGGTCCAATATGAATCTAGGTTCTCTTCCACATATCAGTTATGATGGTGTGTTGCCTATAACTTCATGTAATGCTACAGTACATCAGCTTGCTAATAACAGTGGAAGATCTTGATCCCATGTTTTTTGATGTTCATCTATATAAATGGATAATTGAGTTAGCAGTGTGCAGTTGCACCTCTCTACCATGTCAACAAAGTATAGATGATGGGCTGTTGTCCTGGTCATTTTGATATCAAGGGCCTGACACATTTCCACAAACAAAACTGATTCAAAGTTCCATACCTATGTTAGTGAAGATCCATAGGCACAAAAATTATTGCAAGAGTTTCCGCTTCCTGATTAGGAACAGCTTATACTTCTGACCATTTCGTGAAATAGTTCATCATAACCATGATGTATTTTTCCCATAATTACTTTATGACAGAGGACCAAGAATATCGACAGCAACTTTCTCATGTAGTACTGTAGCATAATACTACTGTAGCTTCAGATGCTATTTTTTATGAAACCTTTAGCTCACTGCAGAGTTCTCATGTTTTATCTAAGTTTTCTACAGTTGTCGGGATTCCAACCCAATAGAAGTATTCTCTTACTCACTCCAATAGCTTTCTAGCACCTAAATGTCCAACCATTGAAAGATTGTGAAGATGATGCAGTAATATTTGCCTTGCTATAGTAAGCAATCACATGTTCTTTTCTATGTTGTACTTGTGACAGAATCACTGGCATCTGTAACTAAAATGAGTGGATCTTCCAGAGTTGGGTTTGCTCCTATAGGAGTAGTGGTAAGATCTTTCTTTAGTTTGTTTGGTGATTGTTCAAAATCAGCAGTCAAATAAAACTAACTTGGCTTTTCATATAATTCGTGTAGAGGATTAGCTATGTCAGAGATTGATTTTACAAAATGACAATAGTAAGAGCAAAGTCCAAGAAATCCTCTTATCTCACACAGGTACTTTGGTGTTGGTCAATTCTGGATAGAGTCAGTCTTTAGTTTTTAGATACTTCCTTCTGGTGTGTCACTCCAACCCTGTTGGATAAGGCAGTTACCATTGCTATATAATTGTTATGGGCCACAGCAGGAAGGCTACTTAGTGTTGTCAAAGGTGGTCCTTTCAAATGGGTAGCAAAATGAGTAGCTTATTGTTGACTATTCTACCCTTTCACTCTTGAAATCATTTTGAACTAAGCCCGATATTACTCTTATAACACAATTCCATCATAATAGAGTGATTTATTGATATATATCTTGCCAGCTAACTTCTTGTTCTTGATTTGGCAGTGTAATGGCTGGAGTAGTTCAGAAAGATCCTGCAGTAACAGATGATGGAGCAGTAGTGGTAATAGGTGTAGACCAAATAAGTTCTCCTATTCCATATCTTATAGTAGATTGTGCTTTAGCTGGATGCAGAAAGACTTTTGGTTGGTTTAGCTTTTGGATTCACCAATTCATTTTCCAAATGTTTTATTCGGTTACTTATCTTTTTTAACTCCTTTGATTACTTCATAACAGTCTTTCTGCACTTCTTCTGTTTTATTTTTGTAATCTCTCCAATTGTATATCTCTAATAGCTTCATCAATCTTGTCTTCAATCATTTATTTTTTACTTTAATTCTTACTTAAATAGTATGTCTCTTTCATTTAAATCTTCTTGTAAATTCGTGTCTCTTACCTCGTACTTTCAAGTTCTTCTTTGAATTATTTTAATTTTCTACCTCCTTCTCGTTCTTCTTTGAATGTTCTGTCTTGTTTTCTTTGGTCTTCCTTTATTTTTTTTTCATTCTTTTTGACTTTCTTTTAACAATTTCAACAACTGCAATAATGTTTCAATGTCACTTGTGGATCTAGTTTCAATGTAAATTTGTTGAAATTGAAAGAAGTTATATCTATTTTGTTTTCACCAAAATAATACTATTACTGATATCAGTTTTGTAGCTTTGTTCTTTTGTTGAACCTTGATCTATTTTCACCAAATAGTTTAAAAGAAAAACATTATAACAGTAGCATTAAAATCACTTTTAACCCAGATTGACTCAGTAAAGGTTTTGGAAATTCACAGACAAATCTGTAGTAGAAATACTTTCTTAAAAATTCCAACTTTCGTGTACAATATATTTTTAAATTACTAAAAGCTTGCCAAATGTCGTGAAGATAAACATAGTAAATTCATAATTATAGAAAACATTACTTCTCCATCAACGCATAACTATACTTAAATATTGATACAACATTTGCGAATTGAAATAATACATTGCATAGGTAAAGAAAAATATAACTAAACCCTTCGGATAACTAATTTTTCAAGCACATTACAGAAAATATTATACACATAAACTTAAACAGACAAGAGAACAGAAATTCTTTATAACTCAAACGTACACTTACACATAATACAAGGAAGAATCTATCATACACTTAATGACAATAATACAAAAGTAAAAGGAATGAAAGCAGAATGTATTACTCTACATCATAAAAGAAAGTACATTTTAATAAAGATATGTGCAATAATCACAATTGAAACCTTTTAATATAGAAACATGACTATAATTTAATAGCCACACCTGTAAAACATCCTGTAACAGTGATAATAGTTCTACACAAAGATAAACCCTTTCACAAATGGCATATAATAAAAGCAAAACGCTTAACGGAATTAGTTGGTTTTAATAATTTTACTAAAACCAACTCAAGATGGGCATTGGTTAAAATAAAATAGAATAATTATATATAGTACCTACTAGTCACTTCCCTTTCATGCTTTACGTCACCTCTATAACATCTATCTTGAACACTGTGGATGGCTTGGGCCATTAGACCTCATTGGGCATCTGCTTGACTAGTATACATAGCTGTACTGCCTACTGTGACCATTCCTGTGGCAAGAGTTAACATAGCTTACCCTCTAGCTCAATCCCATT